AGTTCAGGGTCATGACCAGGGGCATTATCCATAAGGAGAAGAGCCTTTAAAGGAAGTTTATTGGTGGTGAGGTAACTCTTCACAGCAGGGCAAAACACCTCAACTGCCCATTCATTAAAGAGCTGTCTAGTTCCCCATGCTTTGTGGTTGGGCTTCCAATAAACTCCGAGTTGTCCTCTTCACACCTTTTGTTGCTTGAACACCCTGGGGTTCTCAGAGTGGTATACAAGCATAGGCTTCACTCTGAAATCTCCTGAAGCATTGGCACCAAGCAATAGAGTGAGATGGTCCTTCATGGGTTTATGCCCCAGTAAAGAAGCTTCATCTCTGGTGATGAATGTCCTTTTGGGCATTTTCTTCCAGAACAGCCCAGCTTCATCCACATTGAAAACTTGCTGTGGAAGATAATCCTCTTCATCCATCAGTTTCTTGAATTCTACTACAAATTTTTCAGCTCCTTCTTTATCTGCACTGGCAGCTTCACCATGCCTAACTACATTATAAATGGCAGTTCTTGTCTTAAACTTATCAAACCAGCCCTTGGTGGCCTTAAAGTCTTCAAATGCAGTTTTAGAAGAACTAGGTTGATCTTCCTTCAAATGTTCATAAATTTCCCTGGCTCTTTCACAAATGAATTCAGTTGAAATGGAATCTCCTTTCATTTGTTTTTCTTTAATCCAAATAAGAAGTAACCTCTCTGTTTCTGCAATTAGTGATCTACCTTTAAACACTGGTAGACTTATCTCTCACTTTCACTGCTTTAAATTTGTCTTTCTGTGCAATAATTGTAGACACAGTTGATGCCGACATGCTATATTTTTTACTCAGTACATCGGTTCTAATGCCTTCTTCATGTTTCAATTGAATTGAAATCGTTTTTCTAGATTTCTTTGGACCCATGCTTGATACAGTAATTTCACCAATAAAATTTTAAGTTCACTACCTGGAATTAAAGATTATTTTATTTAAATCAACACTTCACTGCACATTATCAATACGTTAACAAAATTTCAGAATAACCAATAATTTTAATGCAAAAAATTTAAAAATATTCAGGAGACCAACAAACTCAATGTTTCCTCCACTGTAAACAAAGTTAAACAGAGAAGCTTTGGCGGGTGAATCAATCAGCTGATGGGCGAACAAAAAATGTACCCTGTACTGTATATATTCTCAATATGTTAACTAAATTTTAGAATGACCAATAATTTTAAAATAAAAAATGCAAAAATATTTGAGAGACCAACTTTCTTGATATTTACTCCACTGGAAACGAATGTAAACATAGAACCAATTACTATATTGGCGGACTAGCCAATCAGCTGATGCGCACAACAAAGTGTGTTTCTCGTAAGGCTGTCTTTAATCGAAGTTTTGTTCATTATTGGAACTGAAAATCCTTATGGGAGCTAATTTGTTAACCAAAATTTCGTTAATTGGACCGTTCGTTAATCGAGGGACCACTGTACAGTATTTGCAACAACTTCTTTATCATCATTCGTTGGTTTGTTGCCATCAAAATCGTAAATCAATGATGGTTTTTGTTATTTTAACGGAACTTGAAGGCCAAAGTTTATTTGCCACCTCATATGCCAAACTACAAATTATTCAAAACAAGATGGTTAGGTTTATTTTGGATGTGATCGTATGAGGTCATATAGTACATCACAGAGTGCCACAAATATTGAGTATACTGTACATTACAGGGAGATTGAAATAGTTAAGGGTACCTGGAGAGATTAGAACACTTGCAACTGTCTAGCTTATACTACATATGGGCGAGGGGTGGCCTGATTGAAGTGTATAAACACCTCAGAGGGCACTACTTAGTATAGTGTACGTGCCTGGAGCTGGTGTACGCTTGCCCCACATGGAGTCACATCTCAAGGTGAGGGCAAATTTTTTCGAAGTGAGAATTGTGAACTCTTGGAACAATCTAAAAGAGGGTGTTGTGACGGCACCGAGTGTAAGCTCTTTCAAGACCAGACTTGACCAACACTGGAGTAGGTTCAGATACGTACAGGAGCCAGTACAGTACTAGCCAACAGTGCTTAACAGAGATGTGAATGACTGCCCAAGCTGCTAATGAGCCAATCAGTGGCAAAGAGGATAAAAGTAAAAATGATATCTTGGGTGATACTTTGCAACTCCTGTGCACCAAAACCACTAATTTTCAACCGATTTTGTTTTAAGACATTGTTTAATGCCTTGCGAAAAACATAAGTAAAAGTCCAAAAATCCGGATGCCAGAAATCCGGACCACCCGAGAATCCGGACATTTTGAAAACTCACTTTTTTTTTTTAGCTGGCTTTTGTGTGTATGTGCGCATGCGTGAGTGCCACAGCTGCACAGCGACAACAAGCAACCACGCGGTCGCCACTTTAAAACGAGCAATCAAACTGTGACAACGTATGTAATTTTGAGTCCTACTCTTTCCATTTACAGAGTACTGTACAAGCCCATAATAATGGCTCCTAAAGTAGATAAACTTCGTTGTGTGAAGAGAAAGAAGAACACGTTGAAATTGAGTGACAAACTTGAAATAATTAAGAAACTAGAACGTGGTGTGAGCAATCCAGTTCTAATGGAAACATACAACATTGGAAAGTCTACAATTTATGATATAAAAAAGGCAAAGAATAAAATTCTAAAATTCACAGCTTTTTCTTTAAAACTGCTCGTTTTGATAAATGAAGCATGCTATATTTGCTAATGAATAAACTATCAAAATGTACTTGTTCATCTCTTCTTTATTCCTCCTTAAATTTGAATTTTAAAAGTACTGCCTGAGAATCTGGAAAATCCGAAAATCCGGACCGACCCAATCCCCATTCAGTCCGGATTTTTGGACTTCTGTATGTACAGTATTTTGATTTTTCATATTTTTTTATAAATTATATCAAACCACCACAATTTACATAACGCGGTTAACATGGTATTTACAGTGGTTCCTTGGTTAACAAACACAATTCGTTCCAGAAGGTTGTTCATTCACCGAAAATTTCGTTAATCGAAACCATTGTTTCAATGGGATTTTGGGTAATTGGTTCCAGCTCACCGAAAATTACATACAAACTAAAAATAAATGCAGTAAAGTACACTTACTTTGAGGTGTGTGTGTAGAAGGCTCCTGGTTGATGATGATGATGGGAATTAGAAGTGGGGGTGGAGGAGAAGGGAGAAGAGAAGGAAGTGGGGGTGGAAGAGAAATCACCCCATGCTTCATGCCGTCATTTCACCCATAAAAGTTTAAGTTCACTAGGTGTAATTCAAGATTATTTTCTTTAAATCAACACTGCACTGCACTATATATTGTCAATATGTAAAATAAATTTCAGAATGACCAATAATTGTACTGTAAAAATGTAAAAATAGTTTATGTTCAAGAGAGCCACAAGCAAGATGTTACCTCCACTGACCAGAGATAAAAACTGACGCCTTGCTGAGTCAAGTGGCTGATTGGCGCACCAAAAACTAGTTCCCTGTACTGCAATTATGTTAAATAAGTGTTAAAATGACTAAAAAATTTAATATAAAACTTGGAAAATTATTGAATAGTACAACCTTCTTGATATTTACTCAAATGGGAACAAATTTAAGCCCTAAAACCGATTACTGTATTGGCGGACTAATACTCCTGCTGGTGAGCAAGCGAAAACATGTTGACATGATTTCGTAAAAATTTCGTTAACCGAATTGAAAATTCTTATGGAAGGTAATTCGTTAGACGAGGCGTTCGTTAACCGAGGGTTCACTGTATCATTATTAATGCTTTATTCCCAATGACTGCTGTACAATATTTGTGAAATTGCGGCTACACTGTATACTGTATGTTGGAAAAACTTGATACCCTGTATATGAAATTTAAAATTTTATGATATTGAAAATATAAAATTTAGAAGCCATTAAAGCCTTATATTGTAAAAACTTTTATGCTCATCATGGGTGGAGAGTTGTAAGTTTGTAAAGTGAAGTGGAGTGATTCTTGCAATTGGTGAGCGTTGGTTGCTGTTATTGTGGTGCAAGAGGTGGGTGTGGTGGTGCAGCGGGTAGTAAGTCCTTGTGTAGGCGGTGAGCCTGGTTGTAGTGTCGCAGGGACCATTGAGGACAGGAGGAGAGTGATGAGGTGTAAATCATTTCAAGACGATGACAGCAAGTTGATTCTGAGGCTCCACCAGCCGTGTGTCTCCTAGAGTGTCTACCAATCATTGACTTTCCATTCTCAGTATGATTTTTGATGCACAGCTTATAATTCATGATGCCAAGTACCAATCACCTTAACAAGATGATGGTGGGTTTGCACAAGGTCATCGAAGACAAGGATAGCAGTTAGAAGGTTAAGACAAAGTGTTTGGAACAAGATCAGGATCTCATGAAGATCAGGAACTCAGCTTATTTCACCTGATGATGGTTAAGCATCCTAATGCTTACCAAACTTGTCCTCCTCCATATAGTACAGTATTACGGTGCTTAATTGTCATAAGCCATAAATTGGGGTTGGTGATCTAAATGTGGTCAGTTTTTGCTCTTTAAACTGTAACAGTCTTATTAATCAATACTGTACTGTACAGTACTGTACCAATATTCAGCCAGTTACCAGTACTTTATATGGTACACCCCTTGTTTATTAGTGGCTTTCAGACCAGACCAATTGTAACCAGAGAGTGTTGTGACAGCACTGAGTGTTAGCTCTTTGAAGTCTGGTAAAGACCAGACTTGACCAGCAGTGGAGCAGATTCAGATACATTCAGTAGCCAGTGCAGGCCCAGTACTTGTCAACAGTACATAACAGAGGCGTTACCGACTGCCCAAGCGGCAAACGAGCCGATCAGTGGCGAAGAGGATAAAGGTAAAAGAATGTGAAAAATTACAGGCATTCAATAAATGTGGCTACTATGCTAGTTTTCTGTTTAAATGTAGATGATGATGTCTGGCTCCATACCGGTATTTGAATTATATATTTATTATTTTACTTACGTAATATATGTTATTATTACAGGGCATATGAAGGCTTGGGCTCAGGAGGATGAGGTAGAGGGAGAGGAAGATGATCTTACTGATGATGATGAGGTAAATGTGGACGATGGTACTGGTGCTGAAATAGAAACTGCAGAAGGCGGCGAAGAAGAAGAAGAGGAAGAAGAGGAGGCAACTGCCAAGGGATCACCAGATGCAGACACTGTTATCCTTTTTACTAAGCCTATTGGTGCAGGAACAGGTTAGTAACACTTTATATTTATTCTACTTTGATCACATAGATCTGTCTTTCTGCCTCATATATGCACAATTGCAGGGTCTCAATTGTCTCTCTTACTATTGACAACACATATACAGTACGTATAACCTTTCTCACTCTTGATCTGTTCTATTCTTTCAACTCTTTCACTCTCCTATGTTATCAGTTGACAATAATATTAAAGCGGGGCCTTCTCGGATGGGTCCCACTGGTCGGGAAGGTTTTGGATCCCAGGGGCCGACCTGATCATCATCAAACTACTGGGGCCTCAACTGATGTCATTTTTCCAACATTCGCGGCTTGAGATCCAATTTTCCTTGTGTGGAGCACCATCTATTAACCTCTTCTCCTGACCTCTTACTACTATCTGAACTTCAACTGACCAAAGCAGCTTCACCCAAACCTTTTCAAGTCTCCAACTACAACCTTTATACCTCTTTCCGTTCTAAGGGAGGTGTATGCGCCTACTGCAACACACGTACACCCATAGCTCGACTCACAGATCTTGAATCTTCTCTTTATGATGTCATCGGGCTGAAAATATCTCTACCAACTATGACTATTTTTCTTTGTTTCCTATACTGTTCTTCCAACTCTACCAACTATTTGGAACTCTTTGACTATCTCACTTCTTGCCATGAGTCGTTGCTGTCCACACACCCCAACACCGAGATCCTCTACCTAGGGGATTTCAATATACATCACAGAGAGTGGCTTGGCTCTGCAAGGGATGACCCAGGTGGAGCTGAGGCACTCTCTCATTCCTTACCTAATGATCTGGAACAAATAATTAAACCCCCTACAAGCGTTCCTGATCGACACGATCAACTTACATTATTGATCTTTGTTTTACCTCTAACCCCTCACACTACTCATACTCAATTTCTGTTCCTTTAGGGTCTTATGATCACAATCTTATTTCTATTAAATCAAACTGGGCATGACCTCCCCCACCCACCTTTAACCGCCAACTATGGCACTATCGGAGGGCAAACTGGCAATCCTTGCGAGAATTCTTCTCCGACTCTCCTTGGGATGACTGCTGCTTTTCCACTCGGGACGCCTCGGTATGTGCTGACAGCATTGCTGGGGTTATGGCACAAGTCTTTCCTTTCTAAACTTCCCTTTTATGGTTTCTCTCGCCCACTTTATTCTCTCATCTCTAGCTTCCTTGAGAACCGATCCATGGCAGTTGTTGTTGAGGGATCGATCTCTCACTCTTTCTCTACCAATAGTGGTGTCCCACAGGGTTCTGTTCTTTCACCTACTCTTTTCCTTCTTTTTATCAATGATTTACTTCACACTACAACCAATTCTATCCATTCTTATGCTGATGATTCTACTCTTCACATTTTCCCTTTCCCCCTAATTCTCAAGGTAGGTCATTACATCTATCAATGCGGATCTGTGCAGCATCTCCGAATGGGGAGGTAGAAGCTTGGTTAAATTCAATAGTAATAAAACTCCGTATTTACCAATTACACTTTCCAAATTAGATGATCTCCCACCAATCACATTTCAGGATATTATCATTTTACCAAATTCTAAAATAGATATGCTAGGCCTCACCATTTCCTCTAATATGTCATGGAAGCCACATCCTTAACATTGCTAAAGCTGCCTCCTGAAAACTGGGAATGCTGTACAGATGCCGTAGCTACTTCACTCCTGAGCAGTTGCTTCAAGTATATAAGGGATTCATTCGTCCTAACTTGGAGTACTGCTCTCATATCTGGGGTGGCTCTTATTCTGTCAAACTGTTAGATAGGGTGGAATCAAAGGCATTTCATCTTATTAACTGTCCTTCTTTAGTTAACAATATCTCTTCCCTTTCTCTTCGCCGTAATGTTGCTTCACTCGGTTAACGAATTACCTTCCATAAGATTCTTCACTTCGGTTAACGAGCAAACCCCCGGTTAACGAATTCTTTAAAAAATTTTCCCAACATGTTTTCGCCTGCATTTGGCTGCCCACCAGTTGTAGCATTAGTCCGCCAATACAGTAATCCGTTTTAGGGCTTAAATTCCTTACCATTTTAGTAAACATCAAGAATGTTGTACTATTAAATAATTTTAAAAGTTTTATATTAAATTTTTTAGTCATTTTAACAATTATTGAACATAATTGAAGTACAGGAAGCTAGTTTTTTGTGCACCAAACAGCCACTCAACACACCAAGCTTGGTGTCAGTATGTTTACCAGTTCAGAGGAAGGAACATCTTGTTTGAAACTCAACATAAACGCTTTTTTCTGTGTTTCCAGTCAAATTATTGGTCATTTTGAAATATATTTTACTTATTGACAATATATAATGTAGTGCAATGTTGATTTAAAGAAAATAATCTTGAATTACACCAAGTGAACTAAAATTTTATGGGTGAAATGGCAGCATGGGGTGACTTCTCTTCCACCCCAATGCCTTCTCTTCTCCCTTCTCCTCCATCCCCATTCCAATTCCCATCATCATCAACGAGGAGCCTTCTACATGCACACCTGTATGTAATTTTTGGTGAGCTGGAACCAATTATCCAAAAACCCATTGAAACAATGGTTTCGGTTAATGAATTTTTCGGGTAACTAGCAACTTCTGGAGCGAATTGTGCTCGTTAACCGAGGGACCACTGTACTTTGACAGGCAATGTTAGGTGGATTTGGCATCCTGTGCACCGCCGGCGAGGCCGTGGGCTCGTAACACACGTCTTACCCGCGGTGACCACCATTTCTCTGTGGATGTCGGTCACACGAGAATAACCCGTTATAGTGCATCTTTCTTTCCTCACACAGCCAAACTGTGGAATGCTCTGCCTTCTTCCGTGTTTCCATACCCATACAATGTCTCACTTTAAAAAGATGGTTTTCCAGCATCTTCGTGGTGTGGATTAATATAACCTTTTCCTTTTCTATTTTTAATTTCTTTTATTCTTATTTTTTCACCCCCCAGGCCCCTTGTGGGTCGATGACCTGTGCCCAGGTGGGCTATTCCCCGTAAAAAACAAACACAAAAAAATACAGGGTGGTATGAGTGCATTTATCCCATCTTCTACCAAAACTTTCATTTCACAATCATGGTTTGATTGCTCCTGTTTTCTTGCATGTAGGGAGAGAGATAGGGCATATCAAGTTATGAAACTATCTCCTTCTCCTTTTACAACTTCTAGGAATTGTTGTAAGGCTATTCTTCGTAGGACCAAGCAGAATTTTGTAAAAAGAAAGACCGCTGTCCTGACTTACTCTTCTTCCAGTAAATCCTTCTGGTCCTTAACCAAAAACATCTGTAATAACTTCTGCACTCCCTCTTTTCCTCCTGTCTTCTGACCTGATAACTCTGTAGCCAACTCTCCCCCTGATAAAAACCAATCTCTTTGGCACCTTATTCTCCTCTAACTCCACCTTAGATGATTCCAACTCTATCCCTCCTACTGAACCTGTGCACTTGCCTATAATCTCCACTCGTAGGGTTGCTGGTGTGTTATCCAGGTTGGATGTGAGTAAGGAGCATGAACTGTACAGAATACCCCCTCCTATTCTGAAAGAATGTGGTGAAGTTCTGACCCCTGTGTTTGCTCGGCTCTTTTGCCTTTGCTTCAAAACACAAACTTTTCCTTCTTCTTGGAAGCATGCCTCGGTTCAACCCATTCCAAAGAAGGGTGACCATTCTAATCCTTCTAACTATCGCCCAATTGCCCGAACTTCATCCCTCTCTACGATTTTCGAAACTATCTTAAACCCTGCCAGGTGAGATCTACTGGTGATCTGCTCTCCTACTGCACCCATCTTTGGTCATCCTCTCAGGGATTACGGGGAAACTTTTGTTGTGGCCCTCGACATCTCCAAAGCATTTGACAGGGTATGGCACAAGTCTTTGCTTTCTAAACTTCCTTCTTATGGTCTCTCTTCCCCACTTTGTTCTCTAATTTCTAGCTTCCTTGAGAACCGATCCATGGCAGTTGTTGTCGAGGGATTGACCTCTTGCTCTTTCTCTACCAGTAGTGGTGTCCCACAGGGTTCTGTTCTTTCACCTACTGTCTTTCTTCTTTTTTATCAATGATTTATTTCACACTGCGACTAATTCTATCCATTTTTATGCTGATGACTCTACTCTTCACATTTTTCCCTTCCCCCCTAATTCTCAAACTACTGTGTATCTGTTTCTAGATCTGAAATCATTTAATCCATCAATGCGGATCTGTGCATCATCTCCGAATGGGGAGGTAGAAACCTGGTTAAATTCAATAGTAATATAACTCAGTCCAGTATTTACCAATTACGCTTTTCAAATTATATGATCTCCCACCAATCACATTTCATGATGCAATCATTCTGCCAAGTTCTAAAATAGATGTGCTAGGTCTCACCGTTTCCTCTAATATGTCATGGAAGCCACACATCCACAACATTGCTAAAGCTACCTCCCGAAAGCTGGGAATGTTGTACAGATGCCTTAGCTACTTACTCCTGAGCAATTGCTTCAAGTTTATAAGGGATTCATTTGTCCTAACTTGGAGTACTACTCTCATATCTGGGGTGGCTCTTCTTCTGTCCAACTGTTAGATAGGGTGGAATCAAAGGCATTTCATCTTATTGACTCTCCTCCTTTAGTTGATAATCTTTCTTCCCATTCTCTTTGCTGAAATGTTGCTTCAGTCTCTCTCTTTTACAGGTACTTTAATGGGCAATGTTTGGTGGATTTGGCATCCTGTGTACCATCGGCAAGGCCGTGGGCTCGTTCGTAACACTTGTCTTGCCTGCGGTGCCGACAGTTTCTCTGTGGCTGTCGGTCATACTAGAATAACTCTTCTTTTGTATTTCCATACTCATACAATCTGTCTCACTTTAAAAAGCTGGTTTCCGGCATCTTCGTGGTGCAGATTAATACAGTATAATCTTTTTCTTTTATATTTTTTATTTCTTTTTACTCTAATTTTTTTGCCTCCTAGGCCCCGTTGTTGGTTGATAATCCGTGCTTGGGTGGGCTATTCCCTGTAAAAAGATAGAAGCTCGTAAACGTATTCAAGGAGGCACATCTGCAGAAAATTCCAATACTTTTTCTTTAAGGCAGTATTGTACTCAAACATTTTTGTATAATAAAAGTAATTACTATTGACCTCAGAATTTCTCTCTATATCAAGTGCAGATGGCCTCAAAATGCCCATGATATTGGTCAGATTTAAAAAAATTCTGGGGGGCATGCAACCTCCCCTCAAACCCCCCAGCTGGGTTGACTCGCTGTGCTCGCCATGTTTCCCTAACCACAACTTCTTGGATCCCCTCTTTTGATTTTCCTGGATCTACCACTGATCTTTTGCCATAGATTAATAGATGAAAAGTTTTTGAGAAATGGTGCGTTTAACGTTTGTGAGAGATTTGGCGATTCCAATTCGCAGGATATTTTGGATTTGGGTTGAAATGAACAAATGCTTTGGACTATGATTTATTCTTTGATTATTGACAATATTTGTATGCGTCATGGTATATAAGGGGTCCTTCGTTGAAAAAAGTTTGAGAACCCCTGGTTTAAGCTACTTAGAGGCTGTTCATCTGCATGTACCAACAGATTTTAAATTTCTTTGTTAACCAGGATGATTTTCCGCTTATGTCACACCATAACCTTCATTTCTTTCTCATGAAGCGTCATGAAGTAATATATTGGGTTGTTGCATTGTTGACTTGAAGCAACAAAACTCCCACCCGCTTACGGCTTTTTTTACTTTAATTGATATCAGAGTGTAGATCCCGCCACAACAAAGGAGAAATGAGGAAGAGTGGGATTCCACGCTCATTGGCTGGAGGGGTCATGATGTAGATAGCAGACGTTCACTGTGATTGTCCGAGATGAGGAAGGAGGCTGCAGGCCGGCCGCTGTGATTGGCCGCCCACTCCTCTCACTCACTCATTAATGGGATGAGAACACCTGACGACGCAAAAGCCAAGCCCAAAATTTCCTGTCTGCCACAAATCGATGTTCTACCCTATTTTCAAAGGGCTTTCAACCTTATTTGCAGTGTAGTAAGGATATCTTATCAACTACCATTGTATAGAGCTAGGCCGAAAATAGTGCTTTCCAACAAAAAATGGGTTTCGCCCGGGTTGGTCTGAGTGAACCTTACCATGCAGGGCGCCTCGATATTATATACATGTCACAGTTCGTCGCTCAATACCACAAATTTAGTTCTTTTATGTAGTATGACAGTTATCACATGCATATTGTTTTAATGTCTTAAGAGTGGTAAAATTGGGTGTAGATGGTTTATTTCACATTCTTTATCTTTCCACCTACCTTGAATAGACAGGTTATGATCCTTACACTTGACTGTATTAAAGTCACTACTAAAATCTTTCTTTCCAATTTTTCCTCTTTGATATACTGTACTTCTCTTTATCACACTACCAGCACAGAACTTTAGTACCTTGACCTTGTTCTCCTTTAAGTAATGCACAGTAGATGACTCCTTGTGATACATCTCATATTCTCACCATGCCAAAACACTGTTGTCTATCGTTTTTAAAAGTTCCAATGTATCTTGAATAAGCTAGCTGTGATGCGTATGTTTAGCTGATCCTCCCTCATCACTACTTCCTACTGGATCCCTTGAAGCCATAATTTGGGGTTGATGTATTGTGGTGTGCCTAAAAATGAACACAGCCGAGAGAAAACAGAGGATGTTAGCTTATCCCCCTTTTTTTTTATAAATAAAATTACATGTATTATGCTACGGTATATATTCATTATACAGTCGGCCCTTAACATACGCGGGGGTTAGGTGACAGAGATACCCGTGAATGTTAAGAATCCGCGTATTTTTGCTGCCCCCCGCCCTCCCCAAAACACCCCTGGCCCCCCATGTCCTTATTTAAGTAAAGAAAAACACTATGTACATGTTTACAAACACTTTATTTAATATTAAAATGCAAAAAGAGCTATAAAAACAATTAATAATGTACCGGCTGGCATCTCCACTCGTCCCTGCTCCCGCCTCCAGAGCGTCACCACTCGTCCCCGCTCTATCCTTCCGCCTCCACATCGTCACTACTGCCGACAACAAACACAAATGTTTTGTGAATAACTGCACCTCCACTTCCTATGTACAGTACTGAACTGTACTGTGCTGTGCATTTTACAAACAATAAACATGGCAAGAAAAGCTATAAAAAAGAGATAAAAATTTCACTTTACTGTACCGTACCTATCCTCGGGGTCATCGTCACTCGTTTCCATAACAGTTGGTGAAGTGGGGGCGACGGTGGGTTCAGCTGCTTCCTCACTGCCGCCAGTGATGGATGGTGTTAAATCTCTTCTTCGGCGATCAAAGAACATGGTGATGGGGAGTTGTCGTCTCTTTCTTTTCATCTCTTCCATGATGTTTTTGTATGGAGCAAAAACGTCATCCATCCCTCGCATAAATTTCAGGGCATGCACCATGGAGGGGTCCATACCATAGGCCAGGTTTTTCAGTGCCTCAATATACCTGGTCATCTCCCCCAAATTCTCTATCGTTATTTCTTGTAGCTGATGTCAACACAAGCGTGGTTACAGCGAGACTGACTGACTGAGGGAGCGCGGGAACGCAGGGTGGCGTGGCGGGCGATGTGTGTGTGTGTGTGTGGTGTCGCGCGCGCGATTTGAATGTATATTCCTCCGGCGGCAATCCGCGTATTTGCAAATCCGTGTATGTTAAACCCACGTATGTTAAAGGCCGACTGTACTATACAAGGAAATAAAGTGACAAAGGAGAATCAATTAAAAGTACCAATGCTCACTGTACACTAACCTCTTGCCAAAAGATTTATAATATAATCATAGCATTATTTTCCAGTAATACTACACTACAATACAACTACACTACTTTTAGCGATATTACTTTGATACAACATGATAAAATGGACAAACAATGAAAATGGAACAAACAAAAGTAGGTAATTATGTTCAAGAAACTTTCCTGTGGCCGAGCGTGTGGTATGACAGGCAAATTATTAACTATCCTCCTTTAGTTGATAATCTTTCTTCCCTTTCTCTTTGCCACAATGTTGCTTCACTCTCTCTCTTTTACAGGTACTTTAACGGGCAATGTTCGGTGGATTTGGCATCCTGTGTACCGCCAGCAAGGCCGTCGGCTCATAACACTCGTCTTTCCCGCGGTGCCCACAGTTTCTCTGGATGTCGGTCACACTAGAATAACCCATTATAGTGCATCCTTCTTTCCTCACACAGCCAAACTGTGGAATGCTCTACCTTCTTCTGTGTTTCCATACTCATACAATCTGTCTCGCCTTAAAAAGCTGGTTTTCCGGCATCTTTGTGGTGTAGAATAATATAACCGTTTCCTTTTCTATTTTTAATTTCTTTTTACTCTTATTTTTTGCCCCCTTGGCCCCGTTGTGGGTCGTTGAAATGTGCCCATGTGGGCTAATCCCCATAAAAAATAAATAAATAACCCGCTCTGAGCATTTAAACACTGGTGGGAAATGGCGCGAGTCTTAGTACGTCACCCGGGGCGTTCTAGTTGGGCTTCTTATTATGTCACCCGGGGCGTAAGGGTTAAGAAAGTTACAGTACAGTATTTGGAAACTTTCACTAGGTAGGTAGGTAGATCTTCTCGTGCCCTTTGAAATTTGAAAAAAAGGGGTGTGTTTTTATTCAATTCACTTACTTTATATTTTGGCAAATGCGGTACTGTATGTCCGTTTGTAATGTAAATTCTTTTTTCTTTATTTTTTCTTCTTAGAACTACCTGCTGGCAAGTTGGTAGAGTTCCTTGTGGGCTTTACAAATAATGGTGACAAAGATTTCGTTTTGGATGCTATTGATGCATCCTTCCGTTACCCGATGGATTTCAACTTCTACATCCAAAATTTCACCGCCATTCCATACAATCGTGCTGTCAAGCCACGTCAGGAGGCAACTGTTATGTATTCATTCTACCCTGCTGAGGCCTTTGCTGCACGTCCCTTGGGACTCACTGTCAACCTTGCTTATCATGATGCTGTAAGTACAAGTTTGCTTTCATTTAGTTATTTATACTTCCATTAATATATACAGTACAGTAGTATACGTATATCTAAGTTCCATACAATAATTTATTCTCAGGTCACATTAGTTTATCATACTTTTTCCCTGTGATTAGTTGCCACTCTTTCTATTTACTGTTCAATTACTTCACTGCACTTTGGCAGGATAATGCCTGTTTGAATGAAAATAGATATGACTGTTCAAAGTCGTTAAACTACAGCTCATTTAGTATTTAATTTTTTTAAGGAATATAGAGTCCTATTTATTATACGGTATCTTCCTTCTATATGGAAGATCATTTTACAGTTATATGCAGTTTTCAGGTACAGTACTGTAATTTGGATATGAAGGTTTGTGGACATCATCTCTCCATTTGCTTTCAGACTTAATTTTATATCTGTTTTCCTTGGGAAAAATCTATTTCATGTATAAATTGTTGAGGGTTTTTAATACATTGTACTGCCAAACCATCATGCAGATATGCTCTTATTATCTGGGTGTTAGTTTGATGATATGATTTTACAGTGGGTTATTTATCTGCTCAGCGGGGTATTATGTAAGCCAACACATTTTTTGTTTTTGTTGGGGGACAGATGTTGGTGAGAGTACAGCAGGACTAATGCATTGTTGAAGCCATTACTGACATTTATTGCATGCAGGTAAAATTACCCGGCTTCGCTCGGGTTATGTATGGACTGTACAGTATAACCTTGACTGTCACAGTTTGCCCTCCCTGACATGGGTAACCACCTTAACCTAACCTGACTATGATTCACAGTTTGCCCTCCATGACATGTGTAACCACCTCCCGTAATCACCATGACAATATCTCGGATGGGGAAGATTTTTGGTTCTTGCACGGACCATCGTGGTTAATAGTTATACCTTGGTGTACAACCTTGGGACCCGTGCAATATGTGGGTTGAGTTTCAGGTCTCTTACTGCTTCCATTTTGGAACTATGGCTGTAACGGTCAGACACATCCTTTTATTAAATGTGGAGATTGTCATACTGTACTGCACTTTGCACTTCTTGTCTTCTTGTGATTTAGATGATGTACAGTATATCAGGGAGGTGTATGTTTGTGGCCCAAGATTTAGTTTGTCTACAACTATTAATAGTAAGAGAACCTGAAGACCTATTGTAGATTCTCTAGGTAAAAAACAACTGAGAAGTTGTGTACTGCATTTCTTAATGAGCAATAGTCACTGGTGCCTATGCATCACAAATACACTTAAAAGTACTGGTTAGGTATCCCTTATCCGAAATGATCTGAAATCGAAAGTCTATTTCATTATATTTATGGTAGATAATACACTGAATATGGCATTTATCATAATTTTAACTAGGGTAAGTATGTATGTGTAATTAATAAAGGTAAGACAGGCTGCTTAGCACCTCTGAGTCAGGCGTTGTGGCGAAGCCTAACAGACAGTAGTGATTGCGCACCTTTCTGGGTCTTTAGTGTACTGTACATCTTATCATATATTTTATGCCCCAAATAATTAAAATATATTTCATAAAACTACCTGCAGAATATATGTACAGTGAGTTCTGCTATAACGCGTGTTTTGACAACGCGAATTGGCTCTAACGTGATTTATGAATAGAGGAACGATATTTGTATAACGCGAACGCTTGTTTGCTGTAACGCGATTTTTGCTTACTATTTCTCCAATTTTGTGGTATTAACTGTGAATATGGTAAAGAAGAATGTCTCCAAGAAGCATTCTGGTGATCGCATTCCCAGTGATGATCGTAAAAGAAAGGCTATAACCCTTGAAGAGAAGCTCGATGTTATCTACCTCAAAATCACCCTTCTCCCCCATCAAGTTATATTCATATTTTTTCAAGGTAAAGTGTTACATTTACTGTATAATTTCATTATTAGATATGAATGTAACATTTATTTAGACTGTGCTATCCTTTGTGTTAGGCTACTAAATTTTTTTCGATTTCGAGTAGTAATCTGCACCTAATCCCATTTTCTCCATAAGCCCTGTTATTTCTATTACGCGAATTTCTATAACACGATGTTTTACAAGAACACAACTATCACGTTATAGCAGAACTGACTTTATCCATATGCTGTAAATGAAATATAAATTAATATTGTGCATAGACTTGGGGCCCTCCCTGCTGGGTGAGCTACCACATTGTAAAGGTTCTGTGTACAGGATATTGTATAGGTATTCCCAAATCTGAGACCCTTAAGGCTCCAAGCATTTCGGATAAAGGATACCTAAGCTGTACAGGTATCCCCAGATCTCCCAATCTATAATATTCTGCTTTAATGATGGTGATGTATGAAGGCCACCCCCCCCTATCTACGGTGTAAACAATCTGCACGAATGATGGTCATCGTTTGGCCAAAGAACTTTGCAGTCACTAAAACATCGCCAAAGTCACTTCACTCACCGAAACAGAGTACAATGTGAACGTTAGTGATGTATTCTCACTGTAAGGTAAAAAAAATCCAGGTCTGATAAGTAACACTGATACTGACCGATATTCGTTGAATTACATGGTGGCGCACATTTGTTGTTGTCACTACACTAGCAAGCTGTTCTATGGTGATTGCACGAGGCTGAGATCATGTTGCTACTTTTTTTCTACCTTACAGTGAGAGAAAATCACTGACCTTCACAATGTACTTTGTTTTGGTGACTGTGAAGCGATTTTTGCATTGTTTTTTGTGACTGTAAAGTGCTTTGCCTCTGTTTTTGTCAACATGTGAGCATTGGGGGCCACTCATTGTATGTTTTGTGACAAGTTCTTGTGCTGTGTTTTTGTGATTGTTAAGTGAGCAGTGTTCTTAACGAAGTGTTGAGTGCTGTTTGATTATTTTATGTTTACAGTAATATCTGTTAGCCGGAATCTCTCAAACCCGGAACTCTCCGATAACCAGAATGGAAATTTTCAAGGGAAATCGTTCCCAAAGCCAAAAAATTATGGCTTTGAGAACGATTTTCCGAGGGACACATTTTCTGGAAATTCTGAGAAAAATTTCCCAGTACGTACCCGGATAATTCCGGGGATAGGAGAGTTTTTTCCGAGTTTGAGAATTTAAAATCAGGCACATTTTCTGGAAATTGAGAACATTTTTCTGGTACCCTGAAAATTCCAGGGATAGGGGATATTTTTCTGGGTTTGAGAGATAATGTAATGCTCAATTTCTGGATCTTCCGAGAATATTTTTCCATTGACCGGAAAATTCCGGCAAGGAGGGATTTTTTCTGCCTTTGAGAAATGAAATAATGCATCATTCTGGAACTTCCAAAAACATTTTTCCGTTACCTAGAAAATTCCGGGGATGGTGTTTTTTTTTTCTGGCTTTGAGATAGTTGTCTCGTTACCCAGAAATCTCTCATTCCGGGAAGTGCTCTGCACCAATTGTTCTGGCTAATGGAGATATCACTATTATTGTTTTTTTTTTTTTTTCCCTTCTACCAGTGATACATGCGGTTGTTGGACTTGCTGGGAATGTATCCCACTGATTCCCATGTTATAATGATCCCGATCTACAATATTTCACATCGCGATGGTTTTTTTCAGGAACCTAACCCCATCGTAAATAGCTGGATACCTGTATGTCCCTCAATAGTGTCAAAATTTATGTGCCTCCCTCAACCCCTACCATTCACATCCTCTCTTGCCACATCCATTCTTAACCAAATATCCCTCCTCCTAATGACAGTTCTAACACTTGACAATATTAGAGACCTCCCATGGTTTGCCATAAACAGATGAACTGTACTGTATACACTAATTCTTACTTCACCCTTGCTAACAAAACTAATGGGGCCCCTTAAGCACTTGCTCATACATCATCAAAATAAAAAAGGTCAAGCATGAACCCAGTGCTTTGCCTTACATAGGATGTAATGGAGTGCCCAATAAACTAGCCCCAGCATTGTGTGGGGCAAATGTATTATTTTCTTTGTACAGTATGTGATGTTCCTGTTTCAACTTCATGAAGATAGAATTGGGTAAATTGATCAATTAATTACTGACAGGTATTAAATTTTTGTATTTTAAATAAAGTAATTTGTTCCTCTTTTTTAGGATGGAAACTCATTCTTGGAGGCTGTCTTCAATCAGACTGTCAGTATTGTTGAGTTAGATGAGGGTATGGATGGTGAGACCTTCTTCCTCTACCTCTTTATGCTGGCCTTTAGTGTGCTGCTGCTTGTGGCCGGACATCACTTTCTCTCCTCATTCGGCCGCAAGAAGGGAAGCAAGAAGGCTGTCGTGGAGGTTGGTACCGGCAAACGTGACGACGTGGACTATGATTGGCTTCCCAAGGAGGTCCTCAATGAAATCAGTAAGTGTCAGACTTTTGAGAATCTTACATGAAATCAAAATTGTTCATTGAATTAAACTTACCGGTATTGCAGATATTAATGACCATGGCTGAAACATAAATTATATGAGAAGTCATTTGTATCTGTGGTTTACATTGCTGTACCTTGTTTTTCAGAGAAGACCCCACGTCAGTCACCTAGGCAACGGAAAGCCAACCGTGACGCTAGTTCTAAGTAAATCCTCAGATGTTACTACTGAAGATGTTCAGTTGACTACACCAGATGATTATCAGCATTGTAATCATACCCAGTGTGGAGTAAGACAGAGAGAACAGGAACTGGAGTTTTCTGTAGATGGAGACATTAATGGAAAGGGTTTTCTATTCATCTTAATAACATCAAATGAAGGCATGTGGCTGATATTGATGACCCCCTGTGCCTGCTTACTACAACAGCCATCGAAGTGTACATTTTCAAGATTGTTAGGGTTATTTTTATGTGCCCTTCATCTCTTAAGTCTCATATCCACTATACGTCAGTGCCCCCAAAGTTATCTTCAGTCTTATTGACTATTTGTTAGCTGTTAAAAAGTTCACAAATTATATTCATTACCTCTCTTTAAGGCATTTAGTCAGTGTGTCTGAAGACAGCTTTGGGGGCATTGAAGAATATGCTTGGTTGTGGATTAGTGTGGAAGCAAAACTTGTTGTCATGGGTATTTTTTTATTTTATTTGCTACAGTGTTAGCAAAACAGTGTCCTATACAGTACTAATGTAATGGAGGACCAATAAAAAAAAATCTATTGATTTTGTTTAACTAAAATTCTGAATTTTTTATGAACATTTGTTTGTATGCATTTACCAGGTTAGTTTTGTCATTTTTATTATGACAAGTTAAAAGAAAAAAGAGCCAATACTGAATTTGATTTCTGAATGACCAAGTTGATCATATTGTGTAAGGGAGTGTATTACCGAAAATTTGGCTAGCGAAAATTTTAAGTACAGTTCTGTACTATGCTTTATTTTTATTAACCACATGTGTACGGGGTACCTTTTTTGCTGAATAAAATCTTTTGGCATTAGCCAAATAAAAGATTTAAAGTGGCATTCCCTTGGTGAAGGGGTTAAGTCTCTGGCATTATTACAAATCATGTCAAATTATTGAGTGGCACTATTTGCATCAATGACATGAATTGAGTCATTAACTTTTACAAAAATATTTTCAAGGTAATTGCATCATAGATGGTTGCATGATCTTGTGAGGGAAGCTTGCAGAAAGTACCAAAGGGTAGGTGGAGTTCCACTGTCCATCAGCAGGGCACATTCGTCTCTTTATCTCTTCTCCCACCCTCCTCACAATTAGTCATATCAAAATTCCAAAGCCACCATTGGAAAGCTCTAAAAATTCTGCTCCTGTAAACTAGATAATACTGTACTTTGGAAGGTTTGTGAGAAATGATGCTGGTAACAAATTTTTTTTTTTTTTATTTGGAATGGAATTAAAGGGTTATTCTCGTCTTATTAATTTTTTCTACTTATGTTATAGCCAAAAGAATAACGAAGCCAGTGATGAATACACAGTATCATGCAAAGAACATTTTTTTTGTGTGATAAATTGGACTGCATAGCTTTGTTCCAGTAAAATACCCATAATTCGTAACATTTTGCTGTTAGGTAATACTGTAATGGTTAAAATTTTCATAATACTTGTACTATATATGGTAAAATTTGGAACTCTGACAGACATTTACGAATATGTATGACGCACATGTTGTCATGGGATGCGACCACCCGCCTCAGTGTAAACAAGTATACGTGTGTTGGACCTGTCTGACAGTAGGTCAGGGTCAGTTCATGTTAGTCGTGGAGTGCTCGTCAACGGTCTACCTCGAGAGCTTCTTTCACTTGTTTTTCCATCATTGCCCAATGTTTGAACCATTATGTCTGATTATGCTAAATCTGGTACTGTACCCAGAAACAATTAATTTTGGTTGGGGCAGATAACGGGAAAATACTGTTGTTTTGTTTTGTTAGTCCTTCAGAAGGTGTCCCTTGTAATTTGTAAGGACTAGTCCCCATTATTTCAAATGATGGAGGTTTTACTGTATAAGCCTTCTGAAATAACAGGGAAGTGGGAGTGGTGATTAGACAGGTTTTGGAGAGAATAATAAAGGCAATAAATAAATGAGATGAAAGGAAACTTGTAATGTCCAGATATATTTAGCTAAATGGATGCATAGTTGGATTAAATTATGGAATGACAACCTTGAGTGTTTTCTCGTGGAATTGTGTGTTGTGCTTACCGGCATTGATCATCACAAACACAATTATAAAGTTATATACAACATACCCTGTACATGAGTACTTTTAATTTTAGGTCATTTTACTTTTATTAACAATTACACTTAAATGGGTATGCAGCACACACTTGGGATCAGAGTCCTACTGATATATGAGATACAGTATGTTTGGATTTTCCCACTTTTAAGTTTCTATTTTTATGTTAGAGCCTATCTTAATTAACCCTTTTTAGAGAGCAGCGGCACATTTAGGAATTTTATTCTGGCTAATGCCACATGATTTTATTCAGCTGAGATAAACCTCTGCCCTGCAAGGATTAAGGCTATGAAGAGCAATAGGTGCTTCAGGAGGTGGGTGGGATATCATTGGTGAAGAGATATGGGAGGTTCTCATTTGATAATTTTTTTTTTTTTTTTTTTTTTAGCAACAGTACAATACTGTCTTTATAGTTTCACATTTAAATTCAAATACGAAAAGAACAGATTGAGAAAACTATTTATTAATTTGTTTGAATGAAGTTCAGTACTGTACTTGTAAATGCACATACAGTACAGTACAGTGAGTTCTGCTATAACGCGTGTTTTGATAACGCGAATTTGCTCTAACGCGATTTATGAATTCGGAACAATATTTGTATAACGCGAACGCTTGTTTGCTATAACGCGATTTTTGCTTACTATTTCTCCAATTTTGTGGTATTAACTGTGAATATGGTAAAGAAGAATATCTCCAAAAAGCGTTCTGATGATAGAATTCCCGGTGATTATCGTAAAAGAAAGGATATAACACTTGAAGAGAAGCTCGATGTTATCAACCTCAAAATCACCCTTCTCCCCCATCAAGTTACATTCATATTTTTTCAAGGTAAAGTGTTAAATTTACTGTATGATTTCATTATTAGATATGAATGTAACATTTATTTAGACTGTGCTATCCTTTGTGTTAGGCTATCTACTAAATTTTTTCAATTTCGAGTAATCTGCACCTAACCCTATTTTCTCCATAAGCCCTGTTATTTCTATTACGCGATTTTCTATAACACGATATTTTACAAGAACACAATTATTGCGTTATAGCAGAACTACCTGTATTCTAATTTCTTGATTAGTTTCTCCATGTTTGTTATGAATTGTGATTGAGTATGATTGGTTAACAAATCAACCAGTCAGATGCTGTTGTTAGAAGTTAAATAAATGCTGTGCTATAGTTATAAAAAAAGAAAAGGGTAGCAGCTTAGATCTCCCTCACATAGGGTGTCTCATTTTTTTAATCTCGTATATTACAGAAGCACAGCTGTCATAGTCATAAGAGGTACTACTGTATTTTTTAATGGGGATTAGCCGACCCACATCAGGTCATGAGGGTGAATTAAAAAATAAACCATAAATAAATACAGAAATGGAAAAAATATAATAAATTAAGAACGGTTTGATTAACGAAATTTCGGTTAACGAATTAGCTCCCATAAGGATTTTCAATTCGATTAACGAAATCCTTACTACAAACACGTCTTGTTGTGCGCATCAGCTGATCGGCTAGTCCGCCAATACAGTAATTGGTTCTGTTTACACTCGTTTCCAGTGAAGTAAATATCAAGAAAGTTGGTCTCTTGAATATTTCTGCATTTTTTTTATTAAAATTATTGGTCATTCTGAAATTTAGTTAGCATATTGATAATATAGACAGTACAGGGAACAGTTTTGTGCGCCCATCAGCTGATTGAATCACCCAACAACGCTTCTCAGTTTAACTTTGTTTACAGTGGAGTGAACATCAATTTTGTTCGTCTCTTGAATATTTTGCATTTTTACATTAAAGTTATTGGGCATTCTGAAATTTAGTTAACATATTGATAATTTACAGTGCAGAAATTATTTTGAAACATGAAGAAGGCATTAGAACTAATGCACTCTGTAAAGAATATGGCATGTCATCATCGACTGCCTCTACAATCAGCTGTTTGATATGTAAACAAAGCTGCCGGTAATACGACATACACACCTCAACGTAAGTTAAAATACAGTATTCTATTGTTTTCATTTATTATTGTACAGTATACTGTACAGTACAGTACTGTATTTAGTTTATATTTAATGTTTTTTTAATTCTATTACTGGTATACAGTGCTTTATATGTACTTTTCTGTGAGTTGGAACCAATTACCCAATATCCCATTGAAATAATAAATTCGGTTAACGAACGACTCTGTGGAACGAATTGTGTTAGTTAACCGAGGGATCTATATATAGCTATGTTGTGTTGTCAGAGTAAGAGAAGTATTGAAACCCTGCAATTGTGTGTAAATGAGGCAGAAAGTGAGTCAGATAAGTAACCTGGGACTTGGTCACAATTTTTGTGATGCCATATGGCAGCAGGGTCTACCATTAAACAACACATTATGCTTCCAATGTCTTTCCAGGTGGTAGTACCTCCCTGTTTTATAGCTGCCTTCTACCTATTGCCATAAGTAAAGTCAAAGTTTAGATATCATATATCCACTAAAACTAGCTTGGTACAAGTTACCGAGTAGTGCTCATTGAGGTGCTTATGAATTTCTATTAAACCATCCCTTGCCCTTCTGTAGTAAAAATGAGCAAATGTAGATGTTCAATCTCTCAAGGTAAATATACAGTACAGTACTGTACATGGAAAAATATCAAAATCATGCAAAAAAAAAAGAAAAAAAGTCCAGTGACTTTTCAAGTGATCTAAAGATAGGCAAATGGTGTTTATGACTACAGTACTCTATAAATAACACTTCATTGACACCTGTAGATGAGGTAGAAGACCTTGGCAATATGACAGACTTATAACTGAAAGTAGCACACCAGTAGAGGCAGCAGCAAAGGAAGCCAATCAAATATGCACCTGGAATTATGAACCATAATCTTGACTACAATGATAAGGAAATGCTCTCAACTTTATATTTTATATTTTATCCATCTCCATTTGGGATACCTGTATATAAGCATGAAGGTCATACAGTACAGTACATTCAGAAAGGCATAATGTTAGAAATGGTACAGTTGCGGAAATGTTCCTACACCCCGTGGTAACCCGTGTCTCCAAACAGCCAACCTATATGACCTATAGCAAATCTATTCACCAATCACGTCCATTGTTACATGACCATTACCCATTCATTCAAAAATAGTGATACTACTGTAGTATATTCAAATAACATACTTTGCCAAGATGATCGAGAATCTTTAGTTTGCCATTAAAGAGGAACGTTTTTTTTTCTCTGTAGGATTGGATGCTATGATGGAACCTATTCACTTAAGTTAAATGTCTTCCCATGATTCTATTTTGTTGTACACTGTGAGTAAACAAGTTTGTGTCCGTGCTTTTACTTTTTGGATGCTGCTTTTGGCGGTTAACTCTGTGTGCAATAAACAAGGAACCTACACCATGGACATATATGTCATCCCGGGTACCCGATTCTCTACCAGAATGTCGGCAACGAGAATGGGATCTTAATGCAGAGCTGTATGGGTCATGACA